AGAGGAGGAAGAACGAAAGAGAGTGGCGTGCAATAATTGATTCCATAATCGGTGGCTGCCGCCAGACATCAAAGTGGCTCAGTGCCCGCTTCCAACCCCCAGCAGACTGGCCTGGGCCAATCTTCATTCATTATTTAACTTAACTAGCCCCGCAGTATCGCAAAAAAGCGGCGAGGCTTTCGTCGCGTCGACACGTACTTCGTTCGCGTTTCTTCCTCGAAATTGTTCGAATCCGCTCCTCCCGCCGAGCCCTTTCAATAAAGAGCGCGTTTTATGCATCGAGCACGGAACGACGAGAGAAAGGACGAAGAGTGGATGGACGTGTGAGTTTCGCGTTGAGTGCGTGGATAGAAATATAAGAAGTACATGTTAGATCGTGTAACATGGAATGTCGGATGTCTAATCAGTCACGAATTGATGGATCGAGTGATTACTCGAGTGTTAATTCTTGGTAAAATTATTCCTCATCCCTGAAAAATCCACCGTTTCACGTTACACGACCTAATATTGCGGTGGGACAAAAATTCGCAGCGTTTGTCAAACCATCTGGACCAACTGATCGCCCAAAATAATCCCAAATTCTGCGTGAATAATATCATGAAACACTGTCAAAGACAGCGAAAGATAGTCGAACAAACTGGCATACGTGGTTGAACAAATCTATGTACAAATATCTACCACTTAAAACACGCTACGAACTTTCGTTCCAACCGGACAGTAAGCTAATTTACAAGATGAATAGTGATAACCTAGGGCTATGAGTTAAGCGACACGGTTGTAAAAACCTCCGAAATACAAACTAATTCCACCAAATGGACGTACACAGAGGATGTTTCAGAAGTAGAATTTCGTCGGAGATTTCCCCGGAAAACCACCCTATCCCCCAAACATTTCCCAACGCTGCACCAGTGAACATTCACGGTTAACCCGATCCGTAGTCGTTAACGATACGCGGAATCGCTCGGGGAGCAATAATCGAAATCAGAACGACCACGTACCAGAGCTGGTGGATATCGGGGGAGAGAAGCGAAGCTAGACGTTTCCAAGCGACACCTTTCCCTCCTCGAGATAGGGTGTACACCCGACGTGTCGGCAGAAGCCATTCTCAGTCGTGGAATTAATTCAACCGGCGCGATTAGCTTTCGCGGCGTGGGCGAATTCTATCTGGGAACGACTTCCAGTCGCGCAGACTCCGCGCGGTAATCGAACCATCGCGGACTTCGAGCTCGTACGAACTCGGTTGATACAAGAGGATTCGAGGCATGCGAGCGACCGGAAGTCAAGACGAACCTGCACTTCGCCCCTTCTTCCAGCACAGCTTCTCGTTTCACCCCATTGCGCCGACTTTCCTCGGTTTCTGCTCGTTCGTTCCGTTCCGTGTTGTCGGTTACCTCGGTCATTTCTCTCTTCGCGAAAGCTTCTTTATTCTCGGTTGTTTCTCTCTTCTCTCAAAGCTTCGCCCTTCTCTGTTTCTTTATTCTCGTCAGTTTTTCTCCACTTCCACCCTCTCTTTCTCCGAAACGCGAACCGATCGGAGGCCAGGTTCGTTTAACCCTCCGCTAATGGCGCGCAGTATTTTGATCCGTTGCTATCTGTCGGTACAGCTCGCTCGAGCTTCCGCTCAGCTCTACCGGTCGTTAGTCTTCCTTTCGATAAATTGGCGGCCAGATGTGACCCGGATGAAGTATCGCTTTAACACCTTCGTTTTTGGTTTTCCGAGTTAATATCAGAAACAAGGGGTTCGATCGTTTAATTTAAACTCTTTCAGTTGGTACGATCTTTAATACCGGGGTAAATTTGTTACTTCGTTAAACGTTCATTTAATTAAAACCTCGCTATTGATCCTCTTCGACGGTCGGTGTTTCTTTCTTTTTTTTCTCCTTTTTTCAACGTTGGTTCAACGTTAATTTTCACATTCTGCACGGCTCTCGCGCAGCACAGGGGAGGGATTTCATTTTTAAGAACGAGCCGTGGGAGAGATAACGGCACGGATATCGATGAGAAAATCGGAAACCGATGAGCTCCGGCCACGGTGGCGAGGAAAGGAGACGCGGAAAAGAGATTACGCGGCCGGTCTGTGCGCCGGACAGCCCGTAGATTTTCATTTTTTTTAATTAATACGGCCCCTGTACAATGGCACCGGCCACGGGGGAGAAGGTCGATAAGGCCGGCTAACGAGCTGCCAACGTCTAATCCAACTTCGCCTCGAAAACTGTCGGAACTCTTACAGGACGTGTAATGAGTTCTGGCCGCTTGACCGAAGGAAAGTCCCGATGTTAATAGCTTTTAGCCTTTGAATGGACGCGAACGAGCGTCGCGTCGGCGTGAAACTGTCGTCGTCGTCGTCGTCGTCGATGAATAGCGATCGACGGTGAGAAAAAAGAAGGAGTAAAACGAAAAACAACGTTCGTTGCACTCGTACGGACACCGTCGGGTCTTGGATTTTAAGCGTGGAATAAATTTCTACCCGTTCCTCGGATCCGATCTAAAGCTATCTAGTCTCGCACGGTTGCAATTTCCGTTTGGAGAAAGAGCACAATACCAACGGTTCGTGTACCGCTATACTCTTTTCCCTTCGTCGATAGCAGCGACACTTTAGACGAAAAGATAGGGAACCGGTGGAACGTAGGCGGATTCGAGTGGCACTCTTAAAACGTTCCAACGAGTTCCACTTCTGGTTTGCTGGTTGCACGCTTCGCGACTCGAACCCGCGATATCGCGACGAGAATCAGGTGTTTGACCTCCACGAAACGCTGCCCCGGGTCCAGTCGAGCTTCCTTGAATAAATAAGGGTCACGAGGCATCTGGAGGTATCGATCTAATTGCTCTTGCCTCCGGTACCATCATTGGTTCGCATGGGATACGATACTTTCTTGTTGAACACCAGCAGCAAAGAATTATGTACCTACTTGTGGTGTGTGTGTGTGTGTGTTGCGGAGTCGATGTTGATTCGCGACGATTAAACCGTGTTGTCTCTCACGTTAAATTAACGATACGAGGGCTAGTTAGCTGATGGAATAGAAGAAATCTTGTTCCATCTGTGTATCGAGTAAAGGCTAGGAGATTAAGAAAAGCGACGAGAAATTATTAAAACCAATTAGTGGGTGGCCACTGATGAGACTGAAGGGTTTGAAACAGTCATAACTTGTTCATTTTCAATCTTTTTTCTTTTCTTTTCTTGTAGGTTATAGAGCATCCTTTGGAGATTAAAATGGTTACGTATGATGTCCAGCAACGAGTAAAACTCATCGAGTTTTTCTATTCCAGTGAAAGATCAATTATTCAAACTCAGAGAAAATACTGTAGGGATGACCGAACGTGAGTGCGTGTCTGTATGAATGCGTTGACTGTGTGAATGCGTGAGGGTCTATGGCGTGAGCGGTAAGGACCGGCGTGCCAGGTCGAGTGTTTGGGATAGCGCGAAAGATATTGAACGAATGTTTAGTTTTAGTAATCAGGCGAGGAGTGCGTGAGTACGTGTGTGTTTTCTTCTATGGAAAAGTGTGCATGTATGCAAGACGACATTAGGGCGAATGCGAGGGAGCGAAAGGAAGTGTGAATCCAGCGATTGATTGAGCGACATCCCTAGCGTAGCGATATAAACTATTCACTATCCCTCCACACAAAAATCCCCTACACAACTGTGTTATGCAAAGTTACCTAAATGAGAAACAGAAGGTCTCAAATTTTGTAATCCGA